AATTACACTTTAGTACTACGTGATTATACCCTTAAAACATGTTAACCCTACCTTCTCAATTTTAACAATAACATACCCTAGACTTTCAAATTTGTTATAATGAGGTTCCGCCATTAGGGTTTCCGTCGGATCTCTTCGTTAATTGCCTACGCAGCAATGTGGGTCACACATTTCTCAATTTTTATTAATTTCAAATGTATTAAAATATTAAAAAACCAAAAAAAACACAAAAAAATTTTAGAAAAATAAATCTCTCTCTCTCACCCTCCAACCCCCACGAACCCACCACCCACAGAACCCATCCCCCCTGCGATTTTCTTCTACCCCCCTCACACCCGACAATTTTCTTCTTCCTCAATTTCGCATCGGCCTAGGGATTTGAACCGGAGACCTCTACCTCCATTCCCAGAACAGGAAGCAAGCTATGAAAGCCTTGAAATTTGTTCTGTGATCGCTGGCGAAGAAGGCCTGAGAAGGATTGGGAGATTTTTTCGAAGAGAAGAATGATTTAGTAAGATTGAACTACAGATCAATAGGCAGTATGCCGTAAGTTCTGATTACCTCCATTCTGGGGAATTGTGCTTCCTTTATAGACCTTGGGAGGTGTGCATGTTATGTAGATTTTCGATGTGGGATTGTGGACATCAATTGTGAGCTTGCCACGTGTCCTAGAGAAGGAGGTTGCCTTAATTGTTGGATCGGTAAATTGGGTGCCGAAGGCAGGTGCTGAAGGCTACCACGACCCATTTCGTCTACGTGTCAGGTTCTCATTGGCTGTTCATTTTAGTATAAACAGAGATTGGGGTTCTAGGTTATGGGTTCTGGGTTTGTCAGGGATGGAGGGTGGTGGTCATGGGGGTGTGTAGGGAGAAGAGAGAGAAATATAGATTTATTTATTTATTTTTAAATTTGGTTTTTAATATTTTGTTCATATTTTAATCAATTTACAATTAACAAAAATTAAAAACTGTGGGACCTACAGTGCCACGTAGACAACTAACAAAGAGATTTGACAGAAACCCTAACGGCAGAACCACATTGTAACAAATTTAAAAGTTTGGGGTATGTTATTGTAAAAATTGAGAAAGAATTGACTAACATATCTTAAGAGGGTAACCACAACGTAGCAAAGTGTAATTAACCCTTTTAATGAACCAATAGCATATTTAGGGGTATTGAAAGTTTCACTTTTAAGCCCTTTTGCCTTTATATATTTAGATTAGAAGCCAAATTGATAATTGAAACTTGTATTTATGCAAGGTCTTGCAACTTAATTTGTTAAGAGCAGTACCGTTTGAATTTCTCATTCTCAATATCGATGGTATAAAAAGAGACTTGTATTTGGCGACTTGGAGTTTCCATATTTGGATTCCTTAATTTGTGACAATGATTGCATGCACATGATTTGATTTGAGTTAATTGGTTTTTTTTTTCTTTTATGAAAGATAAACTTCATTAAATAAACTTCACCAATACAATCAACAACATCAACATCAGAAATCCCCATGAGGTCCCCGACCTTAGCAAGGGGAAATTTTGGGGCCAAATGGATATCGGGTACGAAGATCCCCGAACTTGAAAAATCCCTGACAGGTATGGGGCGGGGATGGTATTGTCGTCCCTGTCCTAGAACCCGACCCAAAAATATATATTTTATATTTAAATAAATAAATAAATAAATATATATAATTATAATATTTATGTTTAACCTTAAGTTAACCTCCCTATCCTAATTATTCCTAATCTTCTTTGGGATTTCATATTGATGAGATTTTGAATAGTTGAGTTGAACTTTATAGTAAATTGAGATATTCACTATTATACCCAATATAGGAGCCCAAATTATATATATAAAAAACTCCTATATGAAATGGACTTTAGAAACACACACAAGACTCATTTACAACATAACAAAAGGCTTTTAACTTCTTTTAAATTACAAAATTGTCATTGATTTCTAATAAACCCAACCCCAAAACCTCATAAAAAAAATATCAAGATACTCAATAAGGCATCAAAGTAATTTAATAATCAAAATTAAATTCAATAAGGTCAAATGTCATTTTTTGGATTTTTTTTGGGTTTGTTTATAAAATTAAATAGTGTAGGGTTTATCTATATTATTAGTGCTAAGAATGGGTATATGACTAAATATCTCTAGTTAAGTTAGATGCGTTGAATGATATTTTAATATGAAACTTAATGTTAAAATGTATGATAAATATTTTTTATGCAAAAAAAAAAATCAGGGATTTGGGGCAGGTATAGGGGATAATCCTCTGACGGGAATGAGGATGGGGATTCCCCGAAACTTATTAAACGAGGATGCTTTCGAAGACGGGGGAGGGGATGGAGAGTGGGTATGATGATGGTATTGTCATGCCCGGCCCCTACCCGACCTGTTGCCATTCTTAGTACCAATCTCAATAGGACAACAAACTAACATGTTACAAACAAAACTGAAGTGGACAAAAGCTGCACTAAAACTACTAGCCAACATCACCACAGTTAACCGTAAGCCCAAATAAAGCCCACATATCCAACATAAACCTTAAAGCAACCTAACAACCCAAACAAAGCTTACCACCACCACCTAGAGAAGCGTTGTTGCAGCCACACCCACCACCGCATCCATTAGAGATTTGGGGAAAACATGGATTATAACGATCTACATATGCATAAGAGCAAACAAATAAACAAAAACAACAACCCTGATAAAGAACAATTAGATGATTTGCAACAACTTCCTTCAAATACGATATAGGCTAAAATTTAGAGAACATGAGCAATATTAGAGATCAGGTTTTGGAAGAATGATTCGATTGAAAACGAATAAAATGGGGATGAGGAGCTTCAATATGAGCATGGCTTAGTAGAAATCACCACAAGGAGCTTCTTATTCAAAACGACCTAATAGACTTATTCACTGACCCAAAAGAAAAAAATGTGACAAGAGATGAGAGGAAAGAGGGGCAGTAACCCTTCTTCCCTCTCCCCCCCTATAAAGAGTTTTTCTTTGAGACTCACAGAAAAAGAGAACAGTTAATTAATTATTATTTTTTTTAAACACGAGAGCTAAATAAAATTTCTATGACCCCTTCTCCTTTTTCTAGTTTATGCTCATATAAAAAGGCATCAGTCTTGCAGAGCTTTGATCAGGCTAGCTCTATTGAAAATCAACTTTGCGGAACTCCACTCAGTAATGATTGCATTACTGCCTTAGGTTTATAATTGCAAATATTCCAATAAATAATTATAATTAAATAAATGAAATGATATGTGCACTACTGCTTTTTTTAATTAATTGCAATACTCCCTTGGACTCTAATATGAGTTTTTATTTTTATTTTACGAAACCATAGGTTCTATATGTGTTTAAGGAATAAGATAATTTTAATCGAACGTGTGTTCCCTCATGATAATCCTATTCATATTTTAAAATATATATATATATAAAAAACCCTAACAAACCAATCATTTTTTTTTTCAATGAGATAGACTTCAAAAACAATTTCCAACTTAGCAAAAATTAATAATTTAAAGGTTTCAAATTCTCAACTCCTCTTGGTTACTATCAATCTGAAAGACAAAATAACGTCAACACATAAAAAAATAGTAGAAAAGAATTAGTACCTACATAAAAAATTTAGGGAATACAAACAAAGAGACATGAAATTTTGGATTTTGAGATTTACATGGACAAAGAACAAAAAAAGTGTGAGCTTTTGAGTGAGAGATTGAAGAACAAAGACCAGAAGACTGAGAATACGAGAAAAGAGGGTTGAGAGGAACTGATAAGGATTAAATTTTAGACAGAGCTTGTCACGCCCAAAATTAGATCAAAATTCACTTAAAGAACAATTAAGTAAACTCTTGAACTTGCTCAATTAGAACTACCACGATCTGCAAGGTTACCAAAACTAAACATAAACACTTCCATTTCCACATAGTGTATCCAATAGTACAACACTACAATCTAAAGTCTCCCAAAATAAACAGATCTTCTAAACAGCAGCCAATACATCACCAAAAGAGTCAATCTTCTACTCCAAGCTAATCTGAGTCGGAAGGAAAAAGGTGAGCTACAAAGCTTAGTTAGCAACTATATATGGCCACAAGTGAGTGTGAGAATCACGACTATACAATATCTGAAAATGGGACTAAAAAGAGTACACAAAACGAAATTGAATAATTCAAGAGCTAAGATACAATTCATAGTCAAAATCAAAGAAACAATAACAATGAGATAGCTTATGTAATCCTCATTAGGGTTTCCAATCAGGCCTTATTCCCATGTGGTGGCATGGCCTTATTATTAGCCGGCCAAAGGTCTTGACTCCTTCAAAAGAATGCACAAAGATGGTCTGAATTAACCACAAGTTCATATGCTATTTAATGTTCAAATACGAGTTCCTTTAACAATCAAATGATGGCAAATATAGCAGAAGTTACAATGATACAATGTTGTGATATCAGTAGAAGCAATGAAATCCTGAACAGCAGCCCAATACCAAAGAAACTAAGAGATTCAGAAAGATGGAAGCAAAGCAAAGCAAACACCATAATAGATAACTTACCTGATTCCATAGGCTGAAACTATAGTCTCCAAAACACTTCAGCCTCTTCTTAATGGAGCAAGCAATCCTAGAGCTCTTTAGCTTCTGTTCTCCTTTTCTCTAACAACCTAGAGCTATGTTTTCATGCTACCTATAGCATGTGCAGAGACAAGCAGAAGCTGGACGTGAGGTGACATTCAAATAACAGAAGAAAATTCAAAAATGAACTCTAAAGGCTTAGACAAGTACTCAAGGAAGCGTGAGGTGTAGGCAAAATAAGCAGGAGGTGGATTTTCTGTAACAAACAGCTGAAATTACAATTCAAACCTTAAAATGTATTTTTTTTTATTTGGATACTATGTGCTTCTTTTTTCCCCAAAAAAAAAAAAATTAGTGCATTTTTTCAGAAATATATGAAAAAGAAGATCTCGCATTTCCGCGCCCAACAAAAAAAATCAAAAACCCTGCGGTCACACTCAACAACACTCTCACCAATCACCAAAATACTCTCGGACTCGAAAGATCCCTTCTCTCACTCAGTCTCTCTCTTTCTTTCCCTTCAAAAACCTCTCTCCCACTCACAAATGGAAGAAGAAGACCAGCAAAAAGTCGCAGATCTGATCAAAGAGCTCGTCATTCGCTTGATCTCACAAAACCCCAACTCTGAATCTCACCCACCAACTCCCAACTCCCCTCAATTTCAAAGCTCACTTCGCTACGCGTTTCGGTTGATCTCGAGTCGATTAACTCCATCTGTTTCTCCAGATGCCGCCGCCATAGCCGAGTCCACCAAGCGCCGCCTCGCCACTCAAGGTAAGTCCTCGCAAGCGCTCACTTTCGCCGACCTTTATACTAAATTCGCATCGAAAACCGGACCAGGAAGTGTAAATAACAAATGGGCAGTCCTTTATTTGCTCAAAATTATATCTGAGGATCGAAAAAATGTGAAATCCCAGTTGGATTATTCGGTTTTGTTGCCCAATTTGGCGTTACACGACGGTGAATTGGGCAACGAGTCGAGGGTTTTGTTAGGTAAGGGAAATAAGGAGAAGGGTTGGAACAATGGGGTTTTGTTAGTTTCGAAAGACCCGGAAAATCTTCGGGAAATTGCATTTAGAGAGTTTGTGAACTTGATTAAGGAAGAAAATGAAGTTTCTGAAGAGGTTTTGGTGAGAGATGTGTTGTATGCTTGTCAAGGCATTGATGGAAAGTATGTGAAATATGATTCTGGTGCTGATGGCTATGTTTTATCGGATTTGATTAAGGTTCCGAGAGCAATCCGCCTTATGGTTCGAAAGCTCTGTGAATTGGGGTGGTTGTTTAGGAAGGTTAAAGGGTATATTTCAGAGAGTATGGATGGGTTTCCATCTGAAGATGTTGGAACCGTTGGTCAGGCCTTTTGTGCTGCATTACAAGATGAGCTCTCCGATTACTATAAGTTGTTGGCAGTGCTTGAAGCACAGTCAATGAATCCAATTCCTTTGGTTTCAGAGACAGCGAGCTCGGGGAATTATCTTTCGCTGAGGAGGTTGTCTGTATGGTTTGCAGAGCCAATGGTGAAAATGAGGTTGATGGCCGTTTTGGTTGATAAATGTAGGGTTTTAAGGGGTGGGGCAATGGCTGGAGCTATTCATTTGCATGCCCAGCATGGTGATCCATTGGTGCACGAGTTCATGGGGCGCTTACTCCGGCGGGTGTGTTCTCCGCTATTTGAGATGGTGAGGAGTTGGGTTTTGGAGGGAGAGTTGGAAGATGTTTTTGCAGAATTCTTTGTTGTTGGTCAGCCAGTGAAAGCTGAGTCTCTTTGGAGGGAAGGTTACCTGCTCCATGCTGGGATGCTTCCTTCTTTTATTTCACAATCTCTTGCGCAGCGCATTCTGAGGACTGGCAAGTCAATCAATTTCCTTCGTGTCTGTTGTGAGGACCGTGGTTGGGCTGATGCTGCAACAGAAGCGGCAGCTGCTGCTGGTACCTCAACAAGAAGATGGGGTCTTGGATATGGTGAAACTGATGCTCTTGAGTCTTTGGTCGATGGAGCAGCAAAAAGAGTTGATAAGCATTTGTTAGATGTTATTTACAACCAGTATAAGTTCAAAGAGCACTGTCTTGCAATAAAGCGGTATTTGCTGCTTGGACAGGGTGACTTTGTTCAGTATCTAATGGATATTGTCAGACCAGAGCTTTCTGAGCCCGCTAACACTATAAGCTCTTTTCAGCTAGCTGGGTTGCTGGAAACTGCAGTCCGAGCATCTAATGCTCAGTATGATGATCGTGATATATTGGATAGGTTAAAGGTAAAGATGATGCCACATGGAACTGGTGATAGGGGCTGGGATGTATTCTCATTGGAATATGATGCAAGAGTTCCTCTAGATACTGTTTTTACGGAGTCTGTGATGGCAAAGTATTTAAGAATTTTTAATTTCTTGTGGAAGCTTCGACGAGTAGAGCATGCTCTTATTGGTGCTTGGAAAACGATGAAACCAAATTGTATCACTTCGCGTTCCTTCATGAAGCTGCAGCATGCAGTTAAGTTGCAGTTGCTCTCAACTCTGAGGCGATGCCAGGTTCTTTGGGATGAGATGAATCATTTTGTCTCAAACTTGCAATACTATATTATGTTTGAAGTCTTGGAGGTGTCATGGTCCAACTTTTTGAATGAAATGGAGGTGGCCAAGGACCTTGATGATCTACTTGCTGCACATGAAAAGTACCTCCATTCGATTGTGGAGAAATCCCTCCTTGGAGAACGTTCCCAAACCCTTTACAGTTCACTCTTTGCCTTGTTTGATCTTATATTGAAATTCCGAAGTCATGCAGATCGATTGTCTGAAGGAATTAATGAGTTGCAAGCAAGGTATTGCTCTTTCTGTGTGACTACTGTTATTTGTGAACCAAATAATGCTACCTCCTTTCTTCTTTCTTTTTCTGGTTTTTTCTTAAATTTTTTTGATAAACTAATGTGTTGAATGGTTTGCTGCAGAACCTTGGAATCCTCTGTACCATCTCGAAACAAGAGTAAAACAAAAAAGCAATTAAATGATACATCAGAGCCTGGGTCCTGGGTCAGTGAGGGTAGGAAGGCCCTCACACAACGTGCTGGTGAATTTCTTCGGAATATGGAACAAGATCTAGATGCACTATCAAAAGAATATTCATCATTGCTTGAGGATTTTATTTCTAAGTTGCCCATGCAGCAGCATGTTGATTTGAAGTTCCTCCTATTTCGGCTTGACTTCACTGAATTTTATAGCCAATTGCGTCCTAGTACGTAGAAAATATGTTCATACATACGAGTCAAAACAATGTGTCTACAACTCCTGACATGATCAAACCAGTTTTAGTTCATTCATTGTCCCTGCTCGTGTGGTTGAACAATCATGCTGTCACTGGCTGACGGGCCAATTCACTTTATATTGCTTGTTTGTTAGGTAGGGGGAAAACCTCATGTTCTATTTGCATTTGACGTTTTCTGGAGGACCAACATCTAATACCTTTTTCTTCATATGTCCAGATGGTGTTTGCTTCTTTCTGGATGGCCTGTGTGGAAGATTTACAGTTGACTTGAAGATATATTGCATCACTAGATCAGGGTGTGAAATTTGATTGTGTACACGTATTGTAGCTGATGATTTTCGAAGTTTTTTTTCTTGGTGAGTTTTTGCAGCTTTGTGGGCTGCCCTTCCATTAGATTTAGAGCTTGTATATCTGTATCATAGTTCTTGATTAGATGAATGACAGATAATGAGTGCTAACTTTTTGCATCTTTATTTTCATATTTTCGTCCGCTATTTTTTATGCCCCCTGTAATTCCCTCTGCCGTTGCTGTATAGTTAAAGGCACAGGATTTCTTAAGCAATGGGGCATGAGATTTCCTTGCAATGTGTACTCGTTCTCTTCTCAACAAGTCGTTATAAGCTTATATAGAAAACATGGTTTGCATAAGGAGGAGCTAAACTTGAAAAGAGGAGCTTTGGTTGGATGTATACTATATACAGTGATGTCTTGCTTGTTAGAACTTGTAGTTTAGGATTTAGGGTTGTAGTTGCCGTAGACCTCTTTAATAATTTTGTTTTTGGATGATCGGCCTGAATGCAAGTTTTTCATCTGGGTGGATATTATGACATTTTTCTGAGTAATTATAAGATACTATACCTTAGAAGTGGGATATCTAAACCATACTGTGCGCCCATGTTATAATATGTGAACTGGTTATTTCACGTACTAAGTGACCATACTCCAGTATCTTACAATAATTTCTTCAGTTTTGACTCGAAACCTATATATAGGATACTTTGTTTTAGCAGGTTTTGCTTGGATCACTTAAACCCCATTTTGTTTTTCGATAAATTAAAAAAAAGACCATCGTTTTTAACAATTAAAACAAAATACTATTTCCAAAATTTACAATTCTTATACCTAAGCCTTTGCCTATAAGATGTAAATTAAAACTAATCAAAATAGATGTGTAAAGAACCAAATAAATACCCTAAAATGAACAACAACAACAAAACAAAAAAAACAAAAAAAAAAGAGAAAACCAAACAAATACCCGCCAAAACCCAGCAAACAGACATGTTGATGCGAGACGAAATGAAGAGAACACGGCGATCCAAACAAGTCACCGCAAAATCCTCCAAGAGTCCAATTCCAGCCAACCGAATCAGGGATGAGGACGACGACGAAGCTTGGCCGAGTCAACCTTCCGAGTCATTGACCGTTACGGTGGTCAAACCCAAGAAGTACAAATCTCAACTCCAAACCAAACCCGGCTCAATCCCAGACAATCCTCCTGAGGAAATGACGATCTTGCCCTTCACTTTCTTCCAAATTGACGCCCTAGACCTCGCCCCACGTTTGCTCGGCAAGTTTCTCAGGCGTGACGATGTTGTTCTTCAGATTACCGAGGTAATACTCACTCCTCTCTCACTTTTTTTCTTTCTGTTTGTTTCTCGAGAAAATGTAGTAAACGAGAAGAAACCGCAGTTTCTAAGCACTTGGGTTTTTATTATCTTAGCTTAATTCGTTTTTTACCAAAAAGGAAACAAATTGGAATTCTGAAATACTTTCGTTTGGTAGAAAAATAGACTTTTTGTGAGAACTCAAAAGCTTCCAACTCTCAAAACGAGTTACATTTTGTCAAAATTGAATGCACTAATTCTATATGTTCTAGACCATAAAAAGAAAATCAAAATGTTTCATCTTCCCATTGTGGCCCTCTTCATTTTTCTCTTCACTTAAATGTTAGCTTGGTTAACAGTAATGGGAATCTTCTGACAGGTAGAAGCTTATAGGCAAAATGACTCGGCTTGTCATGGTCGATTTGGCGTAACTGCAAGAACAGCCCCCGTTGTGAGATTCTGCCCTTATTGTTTCCTTTTTTGTTTTCTTTTAAATTTTAGAATATACATCAAGAACTTTGAACACATATTGATGTATTGGAAACTGCATTGGTGATGGATTGGTTGTTGGATACAGTTTGGGCCTGGAGGAAATGCATATGTTTATCTTTGCTATGGCCTTCATACAATGCTGAATGTTGTTGCTGACAAGGAGGGAGTTGGAGCTGCCGTCCTAATACGTTCTTGTGCTCCAGTTAGTGGTAATTTTCCATAGAGATTGTTATAATACCCTTACGATCATTAACTAGAGTTACCCTTGTGTTTACCTTCTATTGCTAGTATTCATATGCTTCTACCCTTTTGTTTCAATGGAAAGCAATGGTCTTGTCCTATCATTCTCGCAGAGAGAGAGGAAGAAAACTTATAAATTCAATATGTCAACAGCTGCTAACCAACCTTTGTTACAATTATATGGAAATTGCAACCAGCTTATTATTATTATTTTTTTAATTTCTTTTGCTTTACAATGTAGGTAAGATGGATAAATGAAGAGATTTGTCATATTTTGTTTTTCAAATAGTAGGGTTGTTTTAGGAGTAGTTGGGGAATCCTGGAGGTGGGTTGAGCAATATAACTTCAGAAAAAGAAATAATGGGAGTGGGGAAAGTGCTTCAATGAGGTGAGCATTTTGGACTGGTAATAGAAGCACTCTTAATGCAGTCATCGGGGCTTCTTTGCTGATAGCATTGCAGAAGATAAAAATAACTCTGAGTGGTGCTTAGCTGAAAGAAATGTACTTGAAAGACAAGAAGTCAATGCTACTGTGTGAGGCTAGTAGCTTGAAATTTTGTCGATGGACTCTTTGAGATGGTATGGATTATCATAAATTGCCAAATCTTTGAAGAAAAGAAAATAGAGAGAAGAATGTGTTGAGTACCCACGTTACATAGGTTCAGCTCTTTGATACCCTTTATATTTCTCGTTATTGCTTTCCAGAAGCTTTTTAGAAGGACCTCTTTTTTATTTGCAATTCGTTACTGCTTTTAGAAAAACAAAAACAAATAACATAATATTAAGATTTCTAATTTCTCTCATATGTGTTTGGATGGGTTGAAAGAAATATAAAAAATATATAGATAGAAGTATCTGTGGAATACTTGAAAAACCACCTAACACAAAATTCATTCTCTCAAAGGTGGCCCAGAGAAAAAAAAGCTCTAAAAGTCTCCTTTTTCTCCATACATATAACTATCTTCTCTTCTGTCCATTGCTCTCGATGAGTGTTATTCATATGTATAGTGAAAATCATTATAGGACTGGAGACCATTCAGCAGCGTCGAGGTCAGAAGACTGATAAGCCTGTGCTACTTAATGGACCTGGAAAGGTCAGCACCTTTTTCTTTAAATTTCTAATGCAATCTTCTGTTGGTACAATTTTTGTTTTAGTGGATGATGTTTGACTCTAGTTATTGGATGGTGTGTTAGTGCAGTGGTGTTGATTCTATCCAAACAGAAACCTATTAATTGTAAAAGTCAGCCTGATTTGAAAATTGATTGACTAGTTTTTCCCAAAAAGAAAAACAAGAGACTTTGTTGATTGTATGATTGTGATTGTATAAAGACGGAACAATGAGCACAAATATTTTGAAAGATAATTGACTGAAATGTTTATAGGTGTTATTCCAAGAATAAGAACACCGCACCGCATTCTTATGCTTAGGAAAACTGATAACTTTTCTGAATTGTTATGATTTCATTTCCATGCACCTTGCTTTGTGTTAGCTGTTTTTGAATTGTTAAGAGTTACTATTTTCTTTCTTCAGATCGGTCAAGCACTGGGACTTTCTACAGAATGGTCTAACCATCCCCTATATACTCCTGGTACGTGTAGCAATCATGCATATTCATCTCTAAATCTGCAGGAACTTGTGTAATTCTGAAGTAAATGAATTCTTCCGGTCAGGTGGTCTGGAGATCTTAGACGGTCCAGTGCCTGAAAAGATGTTGATTGGTCCCCGTGTGGGCATCGAGTATGCTTTACCTGAGCATGTCAATGCATTGTGGAGATTTGCAGTTGCAGGCACCTCTTGGATAAGTGCTCCTAAAAACACTCTCAGGCCACCCTGATGTTGGATTATATCCAGCAGGGAATTCCACAAAAGGAATTTGAGGACCAAGAAAAGAAATGTTTCATGAAATTGTATAAAATGTAGATACGATTGTGGTCTCTCCTAATCCTTTTTTACTTTGCATTCTCTGTACAAAACCATCTACTGTAAGTCATCAATCTGTCCCTGCTTTGATATATTTGTGGTATTTTAATATAAATTTTATCAATAGTATTTTGCCTCTATTTAGTTTCTCCTATTTGACAAACTAATGATTTTCCTTTTAAATTCTTGGGGCAAATGCAACTAAATTGGTAAGTCATTGATTTTAAAAATAAAAAAATAAAACAAAGAGGGAATTGTTATTCATACTACATAAAGTCCCTGATAAAAGATTTTTTTTTAGAGAAATTTTACTTTTCATTCTTTTGATATAAGTGATATTGAAGGAGTGATTCGAATACAGAATCTTATATATTAATTTTTTGAGCTACAAGCACTTTTTGAGAGATTACACCATAAATAGTGCTATACATGATTTTTTTTTTTTTTTTTTTTTGGGAAGTGCCAATATCACTCTTAAAAGTAGGGGTGGTTGCGGTTCGGTAACCGCAAATTTTTACTCAAACCGCAAACCGACCTACTATTTGCGGTTTGGTGATTTTTGAAACCGCAAACCGACTGGGTTTTGCGGTTTATCGCATTGCGGTAAACCGTAAAATGCGGTCGGTTACCGCGAATTATCGGTTTAAAACAGCATGTTCTCAAGCATTCACAAAAATATAAATTCACAACCTAAATAAATAAATACACAACCTCAATTTCTCAAACATATATAAATTCACAATCTCCTCAACTTCTCAAGCATTCACAACCTAAGAAAATTAAAGTTACAATTCCAAGCATTCCAATTAAGGTTAAACTTCTCAAGCATTCCAATTCCAAATTCTTTAAAGTTACAAACCAAAAGGAAAATGCAAAGCAAAATGAATTAAAGTTACAACCAAAAAGAAAAATCCAATTCAAAGTTAATTAAAGTTACAAACTAAAAGGAAAATGCAATGCACCAATGTTACAAACTCAAGTGTTGGTGGTGAGTGGATTTGAAGAACCCCGTTGTGTTGTTTGAGCACCAATGTTATTTACAAATAAAACAACATAGTTTAATACATTTTATTATAAGAAGAAGCATAAATAAACTAATTACTTACAAGTTGTCATATGTTTTATTTCCTTGTAAAATTCAACCTTATCATCCGTGCGGCTATACTTTGCGATTTGCGGTAACCACAAGTTTTGAAAATCAAATATCGCAACCGCAACCGCAAATGCAGTTCGGTTCTTAATACAGCAAATGCGGTTCAGTTTACCGCGATTGCGGTTTCATTGCAATAAATTTTCGGTTGATTTTTGTAATTTTTCAATTTTTCGGTTTAAAATACCACCCATACTTAAAAAACAAAAAGAATGAACAGATAGTTGATTAATTAACAAGTCAAGCAGGGGTTTTGTTGTTTTGAATTGTCAAGTCATCCCAGTTAAAACAAGGGAGACTTTGGAAAAACACAAAGGAGAGAGAAATTTGTAAAAGAAGCCAAAATAGACAAAATTGCCCTTATTTATTTTTGGATTTCCTAAGGAATCCTTTACATTTGCATGTCTTTGATTTGAAAGTTGAGAGGTTTTTCTGTCTTTTTTGAAAATGTTTTGGCTTTTTCCAAAAGCGAAAATTTTTTTTTGGCTAAAACCTAAATTTACTTTAAAACAATACAAATGGCAAACTAACCTAATAAGGGCTGGCTCCAGTCTTCCAGATCCTTCTATTCCAAAATCCAAATCTAGAAAGAAATTGGTTCCCCAACTTTATTGGGCCTCAGCCAAGCCGCCCCAAAATTCTAGACCCTTCCACTCTCCTCACAAGAACCCTCCAGACTCTCTCTCCACCCCCCTATTCCTCTCTCCCCCATTTTCGCCTCTCCTCTCACATCTCCAAACCCTCTCTATCCCCAGAACACACACTCTCTCTGTCTCTGTCTCTCTCTCTCTCTCTCTCTCTCTCTCTCTCTCTCTCTCTTGCGGACTTGTAATTTGATCAATGGCGAAGTACGGCGAGGGCGACAAGCGCTGGATCGTGGAGGACAGGCCAGACGGAGCCAACGTCCACAACTGGCACTGGGCCGAGACCGATTGCCTCGGTTGGTCACGCGACCTCCTCACCAAGCTCCTCAACAACCTCACCGTTCTCGATGGCGAAGGCAACATTCATCTCAAGACCAAGACCGTCGACAAGGTCGACGGCGAGGCCTACGTCAACATCCGGAAGGGCAAGATCATCCCCGGCTACGAAATCAGCCTTAGTCTTTCTTGGGAAGGCGAGGCCAAAGACGCCGATGGAAAATCGCTGCTAAAGGTCGATGGGGTGGTGGAGATTCCTTATATTGCGGACGAGAACGCTGATGAGGACCCGGAGGTCAAGATTTCGGTGAAGGATGAGGGGCCCATTGGGAAGAGGCTTAAGGAGGCCATGTTGGCTAAAGGGAAGCCTTTGATTTTGGAGAAGGTTAGAGTTTATGTAGAGAGTATTGCGAAGGGTGGGCCCGTTAAGGACGAAGTAGAGGCTAAGAAGATTGCCATAAAGAGTAATTCGACAGCAGCAGTAGCGGCTGCTGCGGAGGCGGTGAAGAAGGAGGTGGTGGTGGAGAAGAAGGAGGTGAAGAAGAAGAAGGAGAGTAAAAAAGGGTTCAAGACGATTAGTATGACTGAGAAGTTTAGTTGCAGGGCGAAAGATTTGTTTGAGATTTTGATGGATGAGAATAGATGGAAGGGTTTTAGTCAGAGCAATGCTAAGATAAGCAAGGAGGTTGGTGGGCAGATTAGCATTTTCGATGGGTCGGTGACGGGTACCAATTTGGAGTTGCAGAATGGGAGTTTGATTGTGCAGAAATGGAGATTTGGGAGCTGGCCTGATGGCATTGATTCAACGGTATGTCAAGTTTGTTTTTCTTTTTGGTTGAAATGAATTCTTGGTTGGTTTTAAATGGTTTTGTGATTTGTGGGTTGAGTATGTTTTGTTTGAATTTTTGCAGGTGAGGCTTACACTGGAAGAGCCTGAACCCGGGCTCACTGTTGTCAAGCTAACACATTCGGATATTCCTGAGGAAGACAGGTTGGTTTTGATTTGAGCTTTTAATTAATGGGTTATTTTTAGTTTTAGTTTGATTGATTTGGGAGTATGTGAGTTTTATTGTTTTCTTCTATGAAAAGCTGATTGCTTTGTTTTGGTGCCTTTGGTAATGCAGATATGGGAATGCGACTGTGGTGGAGAATACGGAGAGAGGATGGCGGGATCTTATTTTCCAGAGGATACGGGCAGTTTTTGGTTTTGGAATTTGAGATACTTGAGTAGGGTTTCTCTTGAAAGTGTAGAATTGAATGATTTTGGAATTATGATTCAGATCTAATGTTTCCTATCAAAACAATTTGCTGAGTCTAATGTTACAATGTTTCGCAATGTCATTGATAAACTGCTTATCTTTAAAATGTGTTGTCAGTCCACTCACTATTTCGATAACTGAAAATCATTGTGGAATTTGGTGAGAATGAGAAAGAGTTGTATCTGGTTTGTCTTATTGGGTTGATTTATCACACTTTTACTATTTTTGCTTCTTTGTCTTAACTGAATTTACTTTCCATCACTGCGAGAAAAAAAAAATGGTTTGTTTCTTACTGCACTGCAGAAGAGCTGTGTTTTTCACATCTGTATTGCATTGGAGATTATTCTGTCATCTAAATAGGTGCCACTGCATTGGAGTATGTTCTTTACTTGTTTCATTGTTAGCAAATGAACATAAGAATTGTTTATCTTCTTGTTACTTCTCAGCCGTTGATTCACAATTAACAATGGGGAAAAAGTATTAGAGGGATGAATGCATTATGTTGCTGGCAAGTAAGGAAATTTGGTGTGGGTGTCGAATCCAAATAATTCCTAAAGACCTCGGGAGATCAGTTTTAGAACATTAGATCGGAAACATCAAGGCCTTTTAGTGGTAGTGATTGATTAGAAGTTATGTCTCAGGTTGCCAGCTTTATCAGGGTTCTAGGATCTTGATGAGTAAGAGAGAGCTTAGGTTTTGATGTTTTTTTTTTTTGGAGAGGGGGTTTAGGGTTGTATAATGCTATCTGATGTCCTGGGCCATCATCTTATCATGGTTATTGTCTTTGTAAACGAGTACATTGTCAGTCATGCTGTGGACTGCTGGAACTTCCCACTTGAGGGCTTTGTTGTATGCTTGTAACTGTAGTTGAGTTATTAGACTTTGTTGTATGTTTGTAGCTGTAGTTGTGTTCCTCGATCCTATAGATCTTGCATCTGCCGCAGGTTATCAGGCTTCAGATGAAGGTTTAGGCTTGTTTGTAGAACAGTGATGGTTATGTATGGTAAAAAGTGTTATGAATTAGGGTTACAAACTTATGAGTTAAGCTTGTGCTTGGTGCTGCATTTGTTGCCAAACCAAGAGATGTTAATTTGCATTTGATGTTTGGTAGTATACAACAAAGGTGCTGGTTTGAATTACATACGGAGGTTGCATTGTGCAAATTTTTGGATCATTTCTCTCACTTCAAGTACAGGCCAGGCTTTATCTATGCAAATCACTTCTGCTTTAAACTCCCTGCCATTCCATAACTTACGGTATATTTAACGATGAAGTGTGTGTGAGTTTAGTATAGTGTATGAGTTTAGTACACTATCGCCTCTCTCAATAGGAAATTTCTTAAAAAAAACAATGAAAGAGAACTTGTGCAATGTTTATCTATACAATCAGAAAACTTGTCTTCCACAATGGAAAATCTTATCTGAATTGTTGCCAATAAGCAATAATAAAAAAATATCTATAGCGTGAGGGTGAAATTCATATATACAAGAACATTTCCACGCTTTCACAAGGTAACCTTGTTGTGTACTAGAATATCAAAATTAGTTGCAATTGATCACAGCCGTGAAAAGAGTCATATTTTCCAATTTAAAGTTGTCAAATTTATGACAAGGACACCGATCTTGCACCATCTTACAATTGCATAGAGTAATTTTACTTTTTTTATAACAAAATATAACCGATACAAGCCCATGTGTAGAACTTGCTTCAAAATATAACCGATAAAAGCTCATGTGTAGAACTTGCCTCTACAAAACTACTTGAAAATAAAAAATGTGTCCAAGAATCTTCAAACCATCCCAAAATATTTTATCCAACTTTGTTTAACCAAATACCGACCTACAAGTCAAGATTAGTCCATAATATCATCCCAAACAAATTTTATATTTTGGCCTATTATCCCAAACCAGTTGGGGAAAGAAGTTAAAAGAGTTCTGTTGTTAACAAGTCAGGTCTTCGCTACTGGAGCTTAATTTCTCAGAAAGAGGAAATTAATCCACAGATAAATTTGGTACCTGAGATTGGGACTCAGACAGACTCCATCGGGCGTATTATTAAATTCGCGAGGAAAGGCCCAACTGCTGAACAACTTACTATTAAAACCGAGGAGGCTTTGTCCCACATCGAAGAATTGTGTATTTGACGAGTTCTTTATATACTTGCGCTTAAGACTCAGGCTTGTCCCTTCGGGGACATCCGATAAAATTGGAACGATACAGAGAAGATTAGCATGGCCCCTGCGCAAGGATGACACGCATAAATCGAGAAATGGTCCAAATTTTTTTGGCCCTTTTTCAGCCAAATTTCGAATGGTTTTTTTGCTCTCTCCATGGTGTTTACCACAATCTCTAGGGCCAAAGGCGTAGTTCAATGCAGTTGCAGAGGCTTGAGAAGTTATGAGCATTTTGCATTTGAAGTCTTCGATGGTTCGGTGGCTTAGTCTTTGATCTTCCAGGTATGAGGAACAGTTTCAATTCAATCTACGTTTTTTAATTTAAAAGCATATATGTCTTAGTATTTGATAGTTAAGTGACTGATTTTTTAGTATGGGATCTTGTGTTTCCAATTTAATCCATGTAAAAAAGCTCGCCTACTAGCTGTTTGATAAAATGACTCTGTTACTATGATCTGTATAAAATTGTTAAGTAAGCACTTCAAATGGTCCTCTGATAATCCCTTACACTTTGTGATTAGCTGCTCCACATTTTTTATTTAGTCGAGTCAATGTTCACAACATAAGATGAATAAACCCGAGATATGTTTCTTTTAGTTAAGCTAGGTGAGTATTATTTTAGAAGTTTCAATCTTGGTTGTTTGAGAAATTCTTAAATCATAGATGGAAGGGTTTTAGTCAGAGCAATGCTTAGATAAGCAAGGAGGTTGGAGGGCAGATTAGTATACTATTTTTTATGGGTCGGTGCAGATAACCAATTTGGAGTTGCAGAATGGGAGTTTGATTGTGCAGAAGTGGAGATTTGGGAGCTGGCTTGATGGGATTGATTTACGGTATGTGAAGTTTTGCTTTTGGTTGAACGTATTTTTGGTTGATTTTTAATTGGTTTTGTGATTTGTGGACTGAGTGTGTTTCGTTTGAATTTTTGCAGGTGAGGCTTACACTCGAAGAGCCTGAACCTGGCTCACTGTTGTCAAGCTAACACATTCGGATATTCCCGAAGAAGACAGGTTGGTTTTAATTTGAGCTTTTAATTAATGGGCTCTTCTCAGTTTATAGTTTCATTGATTGGGATTCTGTGAGTTCTATTGTTTTCTTATATGCATTGCTGATTGCTTTGATTTGGTGCCTTTGGTAATGTAGATATTGGAATGGTTGGCGGGATCTATTTTTCTAGAGGATACGGGCAGGTTTTGGTTTTGGAATTTGAGATACTTGGGTAGGGTTTCTCTTGAAAGTGTAGAATCTGATGATTTTGGATGCATATTTCAGATCTAATGTTTCCTATCAAAACAATTTGCTGAGTCTAATGTTATAATGTTTCGCAATGTCATTGATAGACAGGTTGTCTTTAAAATGTGCTGTCAGTCCTGTCACGAATTCAGTAACTAAAAATCATTGTGGCAATTGGTGAAAATGAGAAAGAGTTGTGTCTGATTTGTCTCCTTGGATTGATTTCTCGTGCCTACACTAGTTTTGCTTTTGTTTTTGTTTTTAAATCTTAACCATTCACTTTTCATCACTGCGAGAAAAAAAGGGTTTATTTCTCCATGCCCTGCATAAGAGCTGTGGTTTTTACATCTGTGCTGCATTGGAGTTTCTTCTGTCATCTAAATAGGTGCTACTGCATTGGAGTATGTTCTTTACTTGTTTCATTGTTAGCAAATGAACATACATATAATTGTTATCTTGTTCATTACTTCTTAGTTTTTAAATCACAATTAGTAATGGGGAAAGACTATTAGAGGGAGGAATACATTATGTTGCTAGCAAGTTGAGAATTATTTTCATTCTTAAAGACCTCGGAAGATCAGTGTTAGAACATTCCATTGAAAACATCAAGGCCTTTTTGTGTTACTGATTGATTAAAAGTTATTTTTCAGGTTGATTGCTCTGTCAGGCTTCTAGGATCTTGATGAGTAAGGGAAAGTTTAGTTTTTGGTGTTGGTTTTGGAGAGGCTGTTTGCATTGTGTAAGATGCTATCTGATGTCCTGGGCTATAATTTTGTCTTGGTTCCTGAGCGCTTTGTTGTAAGCTTTTAGCCGTAGTGTTCACCTTTTTCTCCTCTCATCTATGGAGCTTGCATTTTCTGCCAGGTACCAGGATGAAGGTTTTAGGTTGTTTTGTAGAACAGTGCTGGTTATGTATGGAAAAGAGTGTCATGAATGTAGGTGAAGATTCAATTAATGAAATTAGGGTTACAAACTTACGAGTTGAGCTTAGCGAAATGCTGGGAGCTATTAGTATAGTATGAGATTTTGAGAGGTACGAAAGTACTGGTTTAAATGTGATGGTCATGAATTTTTGTCTCGACCGCAATGGTGTTCTGTTCCTTGTCCTTTGAACTAGTCTCAGGTCTTTGTGGATAAGGATTTGAAATTCTTGTAATAGCAATTTGAGTTTTCGGTTTACAAATTTGAGTATTTTTTTTCCGGGTACATTCCATCTGGTGATCATGTTCAATGGAGACAGATTGAAAATAGAATGGGTATATAATCAGGAACATGACATCTGAAGCCTGTGTGACCTGCACTTTCTTTTACTGAAGTACAAGAAATAGAAGGTTCAAAAAACATAAGCGCCATACAAATTTTTGGATCATTTCTCTCTCTCCATCAAGTACAGGCCATGCTTCACAAGGGCTTGAGGTACCCTGTTGTGTACGCAGAATGTCAAAAGTAGTTCCAATTGATCACGACCCATAACATGAAAAGAGTCATATTTTGCAATTTAATACTGCTAAATTTATGACAAGGACGCCAGTGTTACACCATCTAACAATTGGACAGAATGTAATTTTGCTATGTCTCATAACAAAAAACAATTGATAAAAGCCCCTGTGTAGAACTTGCCTCTACAAAATTACTTGTAAAGAAGTACCAACAATTCGAATTGAGAAGAAAAACGTCCTAATATTATCAAAAATAAGTTCTTTAAACCTATCATCACAAACAAATTGGGGAAAAAAAGAATTCTGTTGAGTTGTATAACTATCCTGTTGTCAAGTCGGGTCTTAACTTTAATTTATCAGAAAAAAGAAATTAATCCACAGGTTAATTTGGTATAGGTAAAAGAACTCTCCAATGGAATTATGTGACCATTGGGCTTATTATTAGATCCGCAAGGAAAGGCCCAATTGCTGAACAACTTGCTCTTAAAGCCGAGGAAGCTTTGTCCCACATCGAAGTATTGTAAATTTAATGAGTTCTTCATATACACGCGCTTAAGTCTTTAGCTCGTCCCTTCGGGGACATCCGATAAAATTGGAACGATACAGAGAAGATTAGCATGGCCCTGCGCAAGGATGACACGCATAAATCGAGAAATGGTCCAAAATTGTTTTGCTCTTTTCTGCCAAATTTTTTTTGCCTCTCCACAACGTTTCCCACAATCCCAAAGGCCACAGCGGTAGTTCAATGCAGTTACAGAGGCTTTAGAAGCTATACGAACTATGAGCATTTTGCATTTGAAGCCTTCGATGGTTCGGTGGCTTAGTCTTTGATCTTCCAGGTGTGTGTAAAAGTTTGAATTCAATCTACTTTTCTAATTTAAAAGCATATCTGTCCAGTATTTGATGGTTTAGTGACTGATGTTTTAGTATGGATTCTTGTTTCTTACAATCTAATCCATGTAAAAAGCTTGCCCACCAGCTGTTTGATAAAATGACTCTGTTACTATGACCCTTGTAAAATTGCTAAGCATGCACTTCAAACGATCCTCTGATAATCCCTTACACGGCTCTAGCTTTTGATCTCTGGCCTGGTGTTGTCCCTTTGGTATTTGGTATCTCCACCTTTTTTTATTTGGCGGAGTAGGATGTTCAAATCCAAGATATCCTTCTTTTAGTTAAGTTCGTGAGTATTGGTTTAGAAGTTTCAATCTTGGTTGTTTGAGAAATTCTTAAATCATAATGGTGGTAGCCATTTAGATTTAGAAGTTTATAGTGATTTGAAATGCTAAGTAAAAAGAAAGCATATCCTACATGATGATATCAGGTTTCAGTTGGGATTAGGGACATGAAATCTGAAACCAATTTTCATGAAATTTCTTTTGTATCTGACATGGTTTTTTGTTTACATACACCTATGTTCTTGGCTTGAATTTCATGAAAACAAAACCATGTTCTTGGCTTGAGTTTCTTTTGGTTTATTGTCATCTGGGGGTGATAACAGAACCTATGTTCTTAGGTTGAATTGGCAACTTATTGATATTTATGGACTCTCATGCCTTTGACTGACCCACGTTTCATATTCGTATCATGACAGGCCCCTTGAGCTCTCAAGCTTGCACTCATGAATCTTTCGAAAGTCCATACTGTCTGTTACTTCGAAAACCATGAAGCTGATGGATCGTTCGAAGTAATTGTCGGAGTTGCTTCAGTTTGGGAACTAGAAGGTAGTGAAAGCCATACCACCTTTTTTTTCACAAGGTAATCAACTCAAAACTGAAGCCTTTACCACTTTGACATATAGTTGGCCTTTTGTATCAAAAGTCTGCTTGCTTGAGGCATGTTGGCACTTCACATATTTTCCTTAACAATATCGCGATGCAAATTCTGGGATACGCCCCATACAAGTTTCTTTTACTTTCCTTAGGGTTGCAAAGATTAGAAAACTGAGCACAAAACTGGAGTGCATCTTAACAAAGACCTCTAGAGGAAACAAAGGTAGAAAGAAATTTGACTGTACATATTGTGTTCTTCATTATATGCTGTGGTTAGAAAAGATTACAAGGACAGAGGCCTAGCAGAAGAAAGAAAACAATAATATTACAAGAAATAGGGACCAAAACATCAAGCATCACACAAATTTTTGGATCATTTCTCTCACTTCATCAAGTACAAGCCAGGCTTGATGTCCCCCAATCACTTCTGCTTTAAACTCCCCATCTTTCCATATCTGCGTTACATCAACAGTCCACTTAGAAAAGTTTCGTACAGTTACCAATACAGTCAGAAAAGTCTTGCTGCACAGTCCATAAATCTCACCTGAATTGTTGGCATTTTCTGAGAAAACAGAAAGATAAAAAAATTATTAATACAAATTAGACAACTTATTAACCAAGTAAAATTAAAATTATGGAAGGGGTGAAATTCAGACATACAGAGATGTTTCCACGCTTAACCAGAGCTTGAGGTACCTTGTTGACATCAACATAATAGAACTTGACCCTGTTGTGTACACACAACGTCACGGTTGTAAATTGATCACAACTCATCACATGAAAAGAGTCTCTTATTTGTGCAATTTAATATTGCCAAATTCATGAAAATGATACCAAATTTCAGTGAGAGAGAGAGAGAGAGAGAGAGAGAGAGAGAGAGTTACTTGGTGTCATATTCAGCAGCCAATTTCTCCAATTTAGGCTTCAAATAAATGCATTTGCGGCACCAAGCTGCCATCCTGTCCCAAAAAAAAAAATCCTAAGATCCATTCACTGTTCTTTTTTTTCTTTTTCTTTTTTTAAGAAGGCGGTATTGTAAACTACTCTAAAATAAAAGGATATGGATCGAACTAGAGTACAAGAGAGCGGACGCATTCCCTCGACCAACTGGCCAAATCTACTGGCCTAACCTGTGAGACCGAACTTCTTAATCAAAATTCATTTGTTTACTAAACCTCATCTGTTTATACCAAGTAAGATATTTAGATAATGTGAACAAAATAGGTGAGCTGGCATTCACTCATTCATCAAGACAAGATAAGAGAGAGAGGGTGAGACCAGTCAATGATAATGGGCTGGGATTGCTCTTGTGCATGGCGTAGAATCTGATCAAAGTGATCACAGTCGTTGATGGCTTCCAGCTCTACAACAGTGGGTCTTGAATCATTCCAAAAAGCCTCAACTTTGAAGTCCCACTTCATCATCTTCTTGCCATCATCTCTGTTTCTGTTCAAAAGTCCAAACCCAGAAGAAGCTTTTCGCAGCAACAAGCTCCCACCACTGATCCAAAACTGTTGCTGATGCTCTCTGTGATGCATTTCTCTACACAAAATATGAGAATTTGCTGCCAAAACAGACATCTTACTTGCTCTCTAAGACTCCAATACTCTGTAAGTAAAAAGAAGAAGAAGAACGATAAAAAAAGACGTTGATCTAGAGGAAGTTAAGCGTTTTAGGATGATGGGTTAGAGTCGTGGTGTATAAGAATCATATTATAGTTGGAGCTCAAAAATGGTGGTTTTTGTTTGTGTAGGATTGGCTACTTGGGTTTCTGGAAGTGAAGTTTGCTCTGTAAAGGGTCCTTGTTTGTCTTGATGTTATAAATGGGGGAGAAAATGCTTATCCATAACTAGTGTTGGGATTGGCGTAGCAAGTAAGAACACTAGAATGTAGGGCCCACAGCCACAACTTGTTTGTAGACTTACTTGGGCTTATTGAACCCAACACAGCAAGTAAGAACACAACTTGTGTCTAGTTCTTAATCCAAAATAAGTGGTTATATTTTCGGGTTATAAGGCCATCTCTAACGCATGAAGTCAAACTTGAAATTTTCCAAATTTTAATTCAATTTTTCTCCTAATTCAAGAAAAGTAACGGGTTAAAATTTTAAAAAACTCAAACTTGTGGCCAAATACCAGTGTAGTTATTGATAGAATTGGAAAACTTTTTGGTGGAGCCTACTCAAAGATGACGCAGTCTATGTGCAAGGAGGAATCAATGGGACACCAAGTGTTGCGCTATTGTTATTGCAGAAGCTAGGAAGCACTGGCTGCACAATACTTTTTTTTTCTTTTTTCTTTTTCCAAAAATAACCAAAATCACCGACCCATATTAAATCAAAGTTATTGTAACGATAAAAACAAATCCAACAGCTGAAATTTAAATCTAAAGGTTAAAATAATATTTTAAATTAATCTAAATCATATCCAACCCAAAACTCACTCAAAACTTTATAAATACCCACCTATTTCTCAAATAAAATTGTATTTATGGAATTTCAATTTTTTTAGGTCAAACTGTTCAAAAAATTAAATTATGAAGTTATTTAAAAAGATTAAATGAAGAAAAGTTATCCATGAAAAAAAAAAATTAAACTTAAACCATTCTTGAACAATTTAATAAAGTTGCAGACTTAAAATTTGAGTATGAAGGGTTGGGGGAAAAAACGATTTGAGTCCAGGCAAAACCCAAATAGTTACTTTTTAAAAGGGAGAAATTTGGGTTTATGACCAAACGGGTTGGAGAAGGCTTAAAAAATTAAAAGTGATGTGGGTTATTATTCGACTCATTTTATATTTGATCATTTGTGTTTGTATTGGGTTGGGGATAGTTGAGTATATCCAAATTCAGGCGGGCATGTCCCTTTAGTGTGTTTGACATAAAAAATTAAAAGTGTTTTGTGGAAGTATTCTTTTAAGCTTTCTAGAGAAGCAATTAATTGCTTCTTTATAAAGCACTTTGATATTTTATAAAAGCTTCAATACAGTTCTAGTGAAAGTGCTTATAAACAGAAGTTCTTCTTACGAGTCCTGGAGTAGAAATGTAGTAGTGCACAATTCGGGTACTAAAATTTGATAGAGAAAGTGGTTGTTTTGTGAGCAGTCAAGCTATGCGAGAGTTTGACAACATAGGACTTGAGCGGTGATTGGCATTTGTGAAGCACACAAACTAGGGAAGGCTATGAGATTTTAGGGACCTCGTCCAAAATTTGTAATAGGGCCTTATAGAGCAAAGTCCTGAACAAAAATACATAAAAAGACATAGACCATATATATTGATAATAAATTTATAACTATTCATCAATATCTGTTTTAAATTATAAAGGATTAAGTAAATACTCCCTAGCACTTATGCATTTCGGTACCGAACCTCCACATAGTACCCACTAACTAGCATCGATATTGTCCTCAACTTAACCACCCAAAGTCCAATAAATAAGTCAAGCCCAATAGACCTTTATTATGGTGTGGGGTTTTTCCCAAAAGGCCTTTGGTGCTCTAATCAATCAAACCCCTATATTTAAGGTGTAAATTACCGTTATAGTTACCCGATGTGGGACTCTATAAAAACAAATAAAGCGGTAGTTAATCAACAAGTCCTCCCCGTGTTGCTGACTTGGTAATTCGCTGAGTTCTTAACCTTGCTGTCGTTGACAAGTCTTTTTTTTGAAATGCTTGTTTAGCCATGATCATGGGCTCATGCCATGCGGCCCAGCCCAGGCTTCCCTGTTACAACTTCCATTGTTTTTTATTTGTTTCTTTCTTCCTCTTTCGTTTTTTTTTTCTTTCTTCCAAGTTGGTAATGATGTAATCTATCAACAATAAAGTAGAAATTGTATTTCCGTTAGTTGATTTTATGTTTTAATTATCAAATTTTGAGGCCAAAGATTGAATCGTAGGTAATCAACTATGTCAATAAATAGAATTCAATGTTTGAGATTTTCTTCTCATATATCTCATTCTCCACCTTTTTAAAGAGGTGATCGGAGAGACTCATCATGCTTCTTCTTCAAGTACAATTTAACTTGAGCAATATTGCTAATTGTTTTTACATGTATTAATTGTTTTTTTTTTAATCAAAATGTATTTGATTCATATATATATATATATATATATCTTATTTGATGGATGATATAACATGATGGATACAATATTAATTTTGCTATTTATATTATTTTAATCATTGTATCGGTGCCATACACATATCCTAGTTTTTGAAAATTTTCCGTATCAATATATCCGTACCTGTATCCGTATCCATACAACATGTAAATTTTGCTTACTCAACTTCCAAATTCTGAATCCGCTGCTACTGACCATTTGGGTTGCACATGGTTCGGCTGGGCTGATGCCCGTTTCTAATTATTCAAATTCTTTCTTCTGTACGTTTCTTATTTCTTTTATTGTCCAGCTAGATAGCAGCAGTGACTCCATGCTGCTTCTTCACTTTCATGGTAGTGACAAAGTTGGGGAAAATAAACACTATTCACTTTAAAATTTTCATGTATACCCTAGCTTATTACTTGAAAAGCCGCAATGTTTAGCCCATCATTAGTTTTGTGGTTGTAAAGGTTCAGAAATCTTATCGAGAGCAAAATGATTGCGGGCTTCTCGTTTTGTTTTTCTTGTTCTTCTCCTCCTCTTGTTTTCGGGGTTATACCTTTTGCCTTGAGTGGCCAAGGATCCTCCATTCTTTTCATCTATAGTTTTTCAATGGAAATGCAAAAACATAATGAATTGGTATAGTTGTTACTTGGTAACGAATCGATACCTATTGTATATTTAGCGACATTAGTAATGATTAGAGGGTTTCTAACTTCAAATAAATTTGACAACTCTGCACTTAATTCTTATGCGTGAAGTATCTTGGAGTCGTTGGTAATATGACTATAAAGGGATTTAGTTCAAGTGTTTAAGAGCAATTATTCCTCTATTTTAGGTCCCTTTTTTTAATATTCCCATCACTCTCAATATCGCTTGTAAAAAAAAACATACAAAAATACGGAGAAAGAAGAAAAAGAAAGGACACCGCATTTATTTGGTGTTCTAACACATAAAGGTAACGCTTCCAGCTTATAATGTTTTCATGGCCTATTAGTTAAACTGTTTTCTGAAAGCGAGAAAGATGGCTATGGTGAAAAGTTTCCATAGTCTATGTGATCCAATTGCCTTCGGTGGCTTGAATAAACTACAATTGTGGAAGATGATGCGCTTTGGAAGAGTATCATAAGCAATCACAACTTTTGCCTTTTGTCTTTGGGTCTCTAGCTAAATTCAACGTTGTAGTAAATAATCCCATTTTGTGAAAAGGAAATTTAATATGTAATTTAATACGTGGATAAATAAAAAATTTACAAAAGGCCTCGGTGCTATTAGATTAATATTATTTATAGTGGGCCCATCTTTTATGCCAAGTTGGTACCGAATCAATACATAGGCCCGCCCACATTTATGTGTTTTTTTTTTATTGAACACTTATGTGTGTTGGCATGTAGGATTACCCTACTAGCACTTATGCATGTCGATACCGAACCTCCACATAGTAACCCACAAATTAGCACCGATATTGTCCCCAACTTAGCCACCTAAGTCCAATAGATTGGTCAAGCCCAACAGAACTTCATCATAGGTGTGGGGTTTTCCCTCAAGGCCTTGGTGCTATTATCAATCAAACCCCTATATTTAAAGTGTAAATTACTGTTACAGTTCACCGATGTGGGACTCTACAAAGACGAATAAAGCGGCGATTAATCAACAACTTCCCTTGTAACTGACTTGGTAACTCGCTAGGTTCTTAAGCTTGCAATCGTTAGTTCAAGCCCCGCAATGATCGACGTCTATAATTTTTTGAAAATGCTTGGTTAGCATTGATCATGGGTTCATGCCATGCGGCCCAGCCCAGGCGGCTTCCTGTTACAACTTCCATTGTTTTTTTTTTTTTTTTTGGTTTCTTTCTTCTTCTTCGTTTTTTTTTCCTTTCTGACAAGTTGGTAATGATATAATATAATCTATCAACAATAAAGTAGAAATTGTATTTCCATTAAAACACCACAGTAATCAGACATTAAGCAAGGTCCATAAATTAACAAGCCAATTAACCCATTAGGTAATCATCCCTCCATCCCCTATGAACTGTAGCAGACAAAATCTTAATTCAGCCTCTGTATATTATTATCAGTACATGTAGCCATTCATTTCTAAGGTATGGCTTTCACTACCTTCTAGCTCTCAAACTGAAGCAACTCCGACAATCACTTCGAACGATCCATCAGCTTCACGGTTTTTGAAGTAACAGACAGTATGGACTTCAGAGAGATTCATGAGTGCAAGCGTGAGAGCTCAAGGAGCCTGTCATGATATGAGTCAGTCAAGGCATGAGAGTCCATAAATATCAATAAGTTGCCAATTCAACCTAAGAACATAGGCGCTGTTATCACCCCAAGCTGACAATAAACCAAAAGAAATTCAAGGCAACAACATAGTTTTGTTTTCATGAAATTCAAGCCAAGAACATAGGTGTATGTAAACAAAAAACCATGTCAGATACAAAAGAAATTTCATGAAAATAGGTTCCAGATTTCATGTCCCTTGTGAAGCGTGGCCTGTACTTGATGGAATGAGAGAAATAATCCAAAAATTTGTATGACGCTTATGTTTTATGGTCTTTCTATTTCTTGTACTTCTGTAAAAGAAAGTGCAGGTAACACAGGCTTCAGATGTCATGATCCCATTCTATTTTCAGTCTCTCCACTGAACATGATCACCAGATGGAAGAATTACAGATGAATCTACCCGGAAAAAAAATACACAAATTTGTAAACTGAAAACTCAACATTGCTATTACAAGAATTGCAAATCCTTATCCACAAAGGCCTGAGACTAGTTCAAAGGACGAGGAACAGAACACCATCGTGGTCGAGACAAAAAATCATGACCATCACATTTAAACCAGCACTTTTGTACCTCTCAAAATCTCGTACTATACTAATAGCTCCCCACATTTCGCCAAGCTCAACTCGTAAGTTTGCAACCCTAATTTCATTCATGACACTCTTTTCCATACATAACCAGCACTGTTCTACAAAACAACCTAAAACCTTCATCCTGGTACCTGGCAGAAAATGCAAGCTCCATAGATGAGAGGAGAAAAAGGTGAATACTACAGCTAAAAGCTTACAACAAAGCGCTCAGGAACAAAGACAAAATAATAGCCCAGGACATCAGATAGCATCTTATACAACACAAACCCCCTCTCCAAAACCAACACCAAAACCTAAACTTTCCCTTACACATCAAGATCTTAGAACCCTGACAAACCAGTCAACCTGAAACATAACTTGATGTTTTCAATCGGGAATGTTCTAAAAATGATCTTCCGAGGTCTTTAAGAAAGAAAATAATTCTCAACTTGCTAGCAACATAATTTATTCCCCCCTCTAATACCATTAGTAATTGTGATTTAACAGCTAAGAAGTAATAAACAAGATAACAATTATATATATGTTCATTTGCTAACATCAATGAAACAAGTAAAGAACATACTCCAATGCAGTAGCACCTATTCAGATGACAGAAGAAACTCCAATGCAGCACAGATGTGAAAACCACAGCTCTTATGCAGGGCATTGAGAAACAAACCCTTATTTCACGCAGTGATGAAAAGTGAATAGTTAAGATTTAAAAACAAAAACAAAAGCAAAACTATTAGAAGTACGAGAAATCAATCCAAGGAGACAAATCAGGCACAACTCTTTCTTATTTTCACCAATTGCCACAATGATTTTTAGTTGCTGAATTCGTGACAGGGCTGACAACACATTTTAAAGACAACCTGTCAATCAATGACATTGTGATCGGCAAATTGTTTCGATAGGAAACATTATATCTGAATTATGCATCCAAAATCATCAAATTCTGCACTTACAAGAGAAACCCTACCCAAGTATGTCAAATTCCAAAACCAAAAACATGCCCGTATCCTCTGGAAAAAAAGATCCCGACAAACTCTCTCTGTATTCTCCACCACAGTTGCATTCCAATATCTACATTACCAAAGGCACCAAATCAAAGCAATCAGCAATGCATATAAGAAAACAGTAAAACTCACAGAATCCCAATCAATGAAACTATAAACTGAGAAGAACCCATTAATTAAAAGCTCAAATCAAAACCAACCTGTCTTCCTCGGGAATATCCGAATGTGTTAGCTTGACAACAGTGAGCCAGGTTCAGGCTCTTCGAGTGTAAGCCTCACCTGCAAAAATTCAATCGAAACACACTCAGTCCACAAATCACAAAACCAATTAAAATCAACCAAAAGCAAAACTTCACATACCGTTAATCAACCCATCAAACCAGCTCCCAAATCTCCACTTCTGCACAATCAAACTCCCATTCTGCAACTCCAAATTGGTAATCGACACCGACCCATGAAAAATAGTATACTAATCTGCCCTCCAACCTCCTTGCTTATCTAAGCATCGCTCTGACTAAAACGACCCTTCCATCTATGATTTAAGAATTTCTCAAACAACCAAGATTGAAACTTCTAAACTAATACTCACCTAACTCAACTACAAGAAACATATCTTGGGTTTATTCATCCTATATTGAACATTGACTCGACTAAATAAAAAAAGTGGAGCAGCTCCTCACAAGTCTAAGGGATTATCAGAGCATCATACATTCGAAATTTGGCGGAAAATGGGCAAAAAAATTTGGACCATTTCTCGATTTATGCGTGTCATCCTTGCGCAGGGGCCATGCTAATCTTCTCTGTATCGTTCCAATTTTATCGGATGTCCCCGAAGGGACAAGCTTAAGCCTTAAGCGAAAGTATATGAAGAACTCGTCAAATACATAATTCTTCGATGTGGGACAAAGCCTCCGCGGTTTTAATAGTAAGTTATTCCTTTTTTTTTTTTCTTTCTTCCAAGTTGGTAATGACGTAATCTATCAAAAATAAAGTAGAAATTGTATTTCCATTAAACTACCACAGTAATCAGACATTAAGGAAGGTCCATAATTAACAAGCCAATTAACTCATTAGGTAATCATCCATCCATCCCCTATGAAAAGGACCAAAACTGTAGCAGACAAATCATACGTCAGTCCAGCCTAACTTTTACTCAATTTTATTTAAATTCGATTACATTTATTGATTGTTTTAGGACGTAGTCATATTAGTTAATTTATTTGATTTTATGTATTTTTTTAGGACTTTTTCTATTAAGAGGGACAATAGAATATTAAACTCACACACACTACCTACATGAATGCTAAGACTCGAATGGGATCATTTGCTCCAAATCATTACACTAGTGAGTCCTTCGATTTTATGCTTTAATGATCAAATTTGAGGCTAAATGTTGTTTCGTAGATAATCAACTATGTCAATAAATGGAATCAATGCTTGAGAATTTCTTCTCATATATCTCATTCATATCTTAATTCCAAAATACTCAATATGTGTCGGTGATAATATTATTTGAAACTTAAATTCCTCCTTGGAGTTTGAGTAGATGAAACTCCACCTTTCAAAGAGGTGATCGGAGAGACTCATCCTGCTGCTTTTTCAAGTTCAATTTAAGTTGGGCAGCTTAAATTCCAACTGAAGCTCAAAGGCAATTTTGGGCCTCCTGCTTGATAAACTGGCAATTGTTAAGCTTGGTCCAAATAGAAGACTAAACTCCGCCTGATTAATAATCAAATATATTAAAAGGTGGGTTTACAATATTATTAAAAGGCCCATTTTGTAAGATTTTCTTTTTCTTTTTCTTTTTCTATAGAGAGAAGAAAGAGATGCCTGAGAAATGAGGGAGAGGTGGGGGGAAGGAAAGAGGGAGAAAATATAAAACTATTTAAAAACATAATTGTTCAATAGTTTTTTTGTAGTTAATTTTACGTGGCATTAGAGCATCCACAATGTGCTCCCTAAATCACCTCTTTATGTAAATTTTTGGGAAGATTTTAAAAAATACAACTCCAACCATGCTCCCTATTCACTTCCTAAAAGAGGGAGATCTCTAGAAGTTCCTAAATCCGAGGAGAGAAAAAGAACTCATAATGGCTCCCTATAATTTAATGCTGCTTTATTTTATGAGTATTTTAAACCTTTAATTAATGCTAATGATTTTTTATATTATTTTTATAGAGATTGACCAATTAAAAAAGAGTTATAGCATTTATAAGTTCCTAAATTAGAGAGTATGATTGGAGTTAAAATTTTAGAGAGATCTCCTAAAATAGCTTTTGTATATTTTTAGATAAATTTTAACTACAAAATAGAGAGCATGATTATATAGTCATCTAATTCTACGAACTCTTTTTTTTTTGGGTCGGATATTTGATTATAAGATATAATTAGTATGATACATACATGTAGCTGGGGTGAGAGGCAAAGCCTGCTGGTCAAAGTGCTTATTAACTTGTTCCAAACGCTTTTATAGAATGATCTATAAAGTGGCTTGGTAAGTGGTAACCTTTTCCCAGAACAAAAATTAAAAGGTAACCTTTCCAAAAAGCTTAATTAATAATCACTGACATGCGTAACACAAGACGAGCTTGTTAAAAGCATTATCGGTGTATAATAGTTAAATCCCACAATTATTCGTGATCATTGCGCTATAACGGATGTCAATGGCTGTAATGTGGTTTTGTTGTAGTGATTGTTGGTTGTCAATGGAATGTTCACTACTCTAACCAAAAACTTGAACAAGAAGCTTAAAACAGAAACAGGTGGGTGCCCAGGATGATGTTGGATCCATCCTTTTGTATAAATACAAATAATGCGTATGCCTTGCTTGGTGCTCTCTTGTTCAACTTTTGTGCTGGGGTTTCACATGGATCGGCTGGGCTGATGCCCGTTTCTTCTCTACGTTTCTTATTTGAATTATTGTCCAGCTAGATAGCATCTTAGTAGCTTCTTCACTCTCATGAGTACGTAGTGAAAAGGTTGGGAAAATTATTATTGCTTGAAAAGCCGCAATGTTTAGGCCATCATTAGTTTTGTTGTTGTAAAGGTTCAGAAATCTTATCGACAGCAAAATTATTGCAGGTTTCTCGTTTTGTTTTTCTTGTTTTTCTCCTCCTCTTGTTTTTCGGGGTTATGCCTTTTGCCTTGAGCGGCCAAGGTTCCTCCATTCTTTTCATCTTTAGTTTTTTGATGGAATGGCAAAAACATAATGAAGTGGTCCTCTTTTCATCTTTAGTGACATTAGTACTAGTAATGATTAGAGGGTTTCAACTCAAAATAAATTGGACAACTGCGCACTAAATTCGGGGTGCATGAAGTATCTTGGAGCCGTTGATAATATGATTATAAAGGGATTTAGTTCAAGTGTTTAAGAGTAATTATTTCTCCATATAAAATCTTTTCGAATATCCCGACTATCAATATCGCTTGTGAAAAAAATATATACAAAAATACGAAAGGACACAAAAAAAAAAGAACGACTGACCGCCAAACACTAATGACTATTTCACAGACAAAAAAAAGAACGATTGGCCACCAAACACTAATGACTATTTTGCTGAAAATATTGTCAACATACAATTCAATCCAATTCAATTGTGAAGAATTCAAAAGTGCCAATCTTGCTTTTTAACTTCAACTCTGAAACATTCTTCTATAATAACAAAGCAATGCATAAAATAAAAAATGTACAAAAGGCCTCGGTGCTATTAGATTAATAGTATTTATAGTGGACCTACCTTTTATGCATGTTGGTACCGAATCAATGCATAGGCCCACCACTTACACTTATTTGTGTGTTTTTTTTTTTCAATTGTCAAACACTTATGTGTGTTGGTATGTAGGATTATTACCTCACTAGCACTTATGCATGTCAGTACCGAACTTCCGCATAATACCCACCAACTAGCACCGATATTGTCCCCAACTTAGTCACCTAAGTCCAATACATTGGTCAAGCCCAATAGACCTTTATTATAGGTGTGGGGTTTTCCCTAAAGGCCTTGGTGCTATTATCTATCAAACCCCTATATTTAAGGTGTAAATTACTGTTATAGTTCCCCGATGTGGGACTCTATAAAAACGAATGGGGCGGTAATTAATCAACTTCCCTTGTAACAGACTTGGTATTTCGGTAAGTTCTTAACCTTGCTGTCGTTGACTAGTCTATTTTTCTGAAAATGCTTGTTTAGCCATGCCATGCGGCCCAGCCCAGGCTTCCCTGTTATAACTTCCATTGTTTTTTGCCCTTTCTTCTGACAAGTTGGTAATGATGTAATCTATCAAAAATAAAGTAGAAATTGTATTTCCATTAAGATACCACAGTAATTAGACATTAAGCAAGTTCCATAAATTAACAAGGCAATTAACCCATTAGGTAATCATCCATCCATCCCCTGTGAAAAGGAACAAAATCTTAATTTGGCATCCAATCTAATGTAAAGCATTCCATCTTGAGATTGATTCAGCCTCTTTATATTATTATCAGTACATGTAGGCATTCATTTCTAAATATTTATCATTTATGCGGATGCTATAGTCTCATACATCAGTCCAGCTCTGTGGACGCATTGACAAAACTTAGCTTTTACTCAATTTTATTCAAATTCGATTACATTTATTGATTGTTTTAGGAGGACGTAGTTATATTAGTTAATCTCTTTGATTTTATGTATTTTTTAGGACCTTTCTTATTGAAAGAGGCGATAATATATTAAACTCTCACACACTATACCGATGCTAGAACTCGAATGAGAGCATTTGTTTCAAACCACTATACTAATGGGTCCTTTAATTTTATATTTTATATCAAATTTGAGGTTAAAAGCTGTATCGTAAATGAAATCAATGCTTGAGAATTTCTTCTCATATATCTCATTCATATCTTAATTCCAAAATACTTTTTTTGCCTAAAAGACATTTTTTGTCTCTATAGTTTGACACTTCAACCACTTTTGACTGTGTAACTTCAATTCCGTCAATTTTGACCATGTAGTTTCGTATTTGTAGCAATTCAATGACAAGTTAGTATTCCTGTCAATTTCTTTGACGGTGCAAGGGGCAATTTCATCAACCCAAAATCTTTGAGCATAAAAGTTCGTCTAAAACTCCTCTAATTTCATATTAGGGCTTGAAATTTTCCATTTGGGTTTAGGGTTCTTCAAAAATTGGGATTAGTGGTTGAATTTCGAGCCCTAATATGAAATGAGGAGAATTTCAGACAAGCTTTTATGTTAAGGGTTTTGGGTTGACGAAATTGCCCCTTGCATCGTTAAAGAAATTGAAAAGAATACCAACATGTCCTTGAATTGTTACAAATACGAAACTACAATGGCAAATTGATGGAATTGAAACTACATGGTCAAAAATGGTTGAAGTGCCAAATTATAAAGACCAAAAGTGACTTTTTGCCTACTTTTTTTTCCCTCTAAATTTCTGTCGGTGGTAATATTATATGAGTTGCATTTGGGTTGGGTTGGGTTGGGATTAGGACTAAAATCAGCTCTTTCATAAGTGCAGAAAGCTAAATCATAGTCCAGGACACCCACATATATTGTTCATGGTGGAACCTCCTTTTCTCGATCCTTTGTTCTCTCCAACCAGGTGGAACTCTAGATATTTAATTTGAATAATAT